TTGTATGATGTAGACATAGCGGCGTGGCGTGCTAGTGTTCACTGCCGGGGATTCCAACTTGGCTGGGTACCCAGCAAAATTCTATTGATTTATCGCGTATGGACAGGTAGAACAATCAGTTCTGGATCTTACAAACAAGGGGGTTGGTGGTGTGTATTGAGTTCATGAGAGTTAATGAGTTATGGGGAGTCAGTAAAAAATGGTAAAAAAGGAAGAGGAGAGAGTATATGTGTTTTAGAGCAAAAAGGAGTGCATACAGTTCTGTTGTAAGGACACTGGATTCAGGAGGAAGTGAGTATTTGAAAGTACGAGTTGGGAATATTACTGCAAAACCAGTACCGGAGGTGGATTTTGGAGCCATCAGTATATACGTGAATACTAGAGGAATGAGTGGAGACGTGGTCAAGGAAATGGGTGAGAAGGACAGCAGGAGGAATATTTGATTTTGGTGGGTCGGGGGAAACAGAGGAGCAAATATGGGGATGAGGTTAAGCCATGGAGGGACGGAATGGACAGAGAACGGGAGAGGTTGGAGATGGGGGAAAGGGGAGTGGGAGAGGAGGGTATCCATGCGAGTGGAGAAAGGTGTAGGTAAACGTGGAGATGAAGCTAAGGTAGGAAGTAGGGATTGTGGATAGTTAGTTTAGTGAGGGAAAGTTGGTGGAATCGAACATAACATCGGAGAGAGGGAAGGGCATGCCGTCGAGATAGAGATGGTATGCCTGATTCAGGCTCTCAACTGGAGAGGAGCGGAAGGCACCTAGTGCTAAGCGAAGACCACAGTAATGGATTGTGTCAAGATGGGCAAGGAGAGAAGTTGAGGCAGAGGAGTAGATATGGCATCCATAATCAAGAGTGGAGAGGATCAAGTAACATGAAGATGAAGGGGAGTTTTGCGATCTGAGCCCATGATATATGGGATAGAGTTATAGGGGTGAAGGTAATGGGGGTGCGTTCTCTGATGGTCTTAATAGAAGAGAAGTGTGGAGAAAGGTGAGAACCACTACTGACCTGGCTGAAATATTCACCCCAGTTCATTAGCGACTTGGAGAGGTTCAGAAATGAGGGTATCTCGAATATGGAGGACGGGGGTAGGATGGGGGGGGGGGATGTTTGCCTGATAGTTTATGGATTCGGCGCCAAACATTTGAGATAGATGTAGAGGATGTAATTGATGAAACCTAATTTCGCCAGCTATTTGTTTTACTATTCCGGATTTAAACGACGAAGACAGGCAGATGCTCTTTTAAAGGAGATAAGGGCTGATAGTTGATTTGAAGTACCTCTCTTGTAGCGGTAACTGTTTCCAGGCTGCACGTTTTAAGCGAAGTGCTTTAGTGCAATCAGAATTCCACCATGGAACGCATTTAAAGGTATATGGTCTTGAGGTTCGAGGGATAGCTGTATGTCGCAGCTCTTAAGACTGTAGTTGTGAAATACTGTATCATTTCTGAAATGGAGGAGAGGAAGGATGGTGGGGTATGAATAGCAGAGAGTGAAGTAAAAGTACGCCAGTCGGCTCTATTAAAGCACCAGCGTGGGAGGTTAGGAAGTGGTACGTATGAAGTAGGAGAAAGGAGAACTGGAAAGTGGTCACTATAGGGAAAGTGGTCTAAGACTGACCAGTGGAAATCTAAATGAAGAGAAGGGGAGCATAGAGAGAGGTCAATGCATGAAAAAAGATTGCGTGCGTGTATCAAAGTGTGTGGGGCGATCTGAATTTAGAATAATAAGGTCAGCTGTGGAGAGGAAGCGCTCTAGGGATCGGCCTCGGGAGTTGGTGATAGAATCACCCCAATATGTGTGGCGGCAGTTAAAGTCGCCCACTATGAGGAAAGGTGGTTGAAGTTGGGAAATTAGATTTTTGAAAGCAACAAAGTCAATGGGGTGGGAAGGGGAGAAGTAGACTGAAATCACTGTGATCCAACCGATGAAGAAAGGTACGAATAACTGTGCAAGGGATATTGGTTTGAAAGGGAGGTGTGACATAAGGTGTTTTCTAGATTGCTAAGTATTGACGAGACATAAAGGGAGTGTTAGGGAAAAGACCAAAATGATAATTGGGAATTGGAATTGGTGATGTGTAAGAAAGGTCTCTGGAGGCATACAATAGATGGGTTATAAGAGGAAAGGATATGACGAAGGTCAGGTCTGTGGGAGCGGAAACCGCGAATATTCCAATGAAGGATAGTTATACTTTAGTGATATAGATTGTAGTACGTGTTGGAGAACTTGAGGGGGAAGTAGCTAGAGGGTGGGATAAGGACTGAGAGGTCTGAGATAAGAGAGGGTGTGGGAGTTGGTGTTCTACCAGGAGGGGTATTAGGAGATGGAGGGTCTGAGGAAGGGGATACTTGTGACATAAGGGATTCACGTGTGTATCCAGGAGGGAGTGGAGGGGGATAGAGGGGATGTGGAAGGGTTAATGGTGGGTGGGGTTGGAGTCGGGGGGGATGGCTGTGTTGGGAGGGGGTAGGAGGATGGGTTGTAGGGGGATATCATTAGGAGGAGGATGGATATCAGCAGTTACTTGGAGTGTGGAAGGGAGCAGGAGTTGTAGATTGAGTGTCAGTTTGCATTAAGTAATCTTGAATATTTTCAATAGTTTCTTCTGAGGTGTTGGTTGGGGAGTTCTGGGGGATAAAGGATTTCTTGTGAGGGGGGGAAGAGAGGACTGGTGTCTCAAGAGTAGGGGCAAAGGATGGTGGAGGTGTGGTAGGGGAAGAGGGGGTGGAACGTTTGTTCTGTCTGTTACGGGTAGTGCGAGGAGGGAGAGGGGAGGGTGGTTGGGGTTGTAGTGGTGATTGGAGTATCTGTAGTAGAGATTGGAGTGTCTGGATTTAGGATGGCAAAAGAATTTGACTGGGGAAGGTAGGAGGTAGAAGTGGGGGAGTTAGATGTAGGAGGGGTGGGTTTAGGAGAAGTGGTATAATGAGCAGTATTACTGGAGTAAGGAGTAAGAGAGAATCCACGTCGACGTGCTTCCTGTCTGGCGTCACGTAGTGTGAGTCCAAGTTTGAATCTGAGAGTTGCTACCTCAGACTCAAATTTGTAGGTGGGACAGCCCCTATAAAATACATTATGGGGGCCGCCACAGTTGACACATGTACGTGATTGTGCAGAGCAGTTAGATCGGGTATGGCCAGGTTGGGCACATAGTGGGCATCTGGCTGTGGAACGGCAATAGTTTGGCTGGGTGTCCTAGACGCCAACAATTTTGGCACTGACGTGGAGGCAGGTTGGTATGGACGAACAGGGAGGGATTCTCCTCCTATGTAGACGTTAAAGGTAATTTTGGCTATGTTAGTGGGTTTCTTTCGATGACCTTTGGGGGGAATGGAGTAGCATTGTACTGATGTTGCATCATGGTCTGTGAGACAGGCAAGTAGGTCTTCTCCACAATCTGATCAATCTTTGTCATAGATTGGGTAATTTGCTGGGAAGATTGAAACTGTTCCGGTGCAAGTATTGAGGGTTGGATGGGGTTCTGCAAGGATGGGGTTACCATATAGGTCAGTTAGTTTTGTTAATGCTATAGCTTGGTTTTCGGATGTTACTGTGACAAGACGGGAGCGGTCGGGTCGGCTACAGAAAGAGACTTTACCTACTTGTTTTTGGAGACATTGTTGGAAGAGAAGGGTGTTATCAGAGTAGGGAGCTGTGGGAGGGATCACGAAAAATCGGTCCCATTTGGCTGCGCCAAAAGAGAGTATTCAAGATTGTTTTAGAGATAGAGGTAGTAGAAGGGCGGGGGCGTGACGAAGATGGAGTAGTGTTGAGGGAGGTAGTGTTATGGAGAGGTGGGCTATAAGGCTGTAAGGTATTAATAAGGGAGGATGGGGTGGTTGATGTTGGAGGTTGTGGGGGTAGAGGTGTTGAAGTTGAGCATGCTGGGAGAGTGGAAATGTTCCTTGAGGGTTGATTGTTGCTACTGTACTAGTAGGCGTTGATGAGGGGGTAGTTACTGCAGTGTTCGGAGCCGTGGTCAAAGGAGAGCCTGGGGTCAGGGAATCGGATGGGTTTACTTCGTTGGGGCTATTTGATAAAGGGGCAAGCCTCATTGCCCCTAATAGTGGGGATAAGTTTTCATTACTGGCCATGGTAAGCCTGGATTATGTTGGGGATAAAAACAGTTCACCCCTCAGGGTCCCCTTGAGGGGTAAGGGCTAGGTCTAAATCAGGGGAATACCGTGCCCATGGCTCCCTCAGGCCGTTCAGGACTGGCACAAAGTCAGCCTTTCATCCTTTCAGCATGGCTCTCACACCTTAGGAGGTGGATAGCAGAAGGGTTTGGTGAAGGGACAGAAACGAAAAGTGGGAAGGGAAAAAAAAAAGACCATGCAAAATTAGTTGAGTCGAGGGCTGAGTCCCAAGGTTGGGGAGTTCCCCATCATTGGGTCCCAGTCTCCGCCTCCTAAGCCCCCCCACGACAACAACGGGCAAGGGATTGGGGGTGGGGGGGCCTCAGAATATTATTTTACTTGTGATATATTTTAGCGATATTTACATAGCTTGAAGTAAACTTATTGCAAATTCTTTAAATAAACTAGCTTAGCTATCTTTTGTTTGTCAATAAAATATTCTTTAAATACCACTATTTTATTATATTTCAACACAACCGTAGTGAAAAAAACAGATTTTTTATAACCATGCCCCTCAAGCTTGGGGCCCTAGGCCGCAGCCTATAGGATAATCCAGGCCTGCATATATACTTGACCTCACTTTCTCTCACTCCGGGCCGATTGAAATGGCTGAGAAACAGCTAGCCGTTCCCACTAATTGTTTACAACAAACGGAGTGAGAGAAAGTGAGGTCAGGTCACCCAGCTGTTCAGGCGGGTCCTTGACTAATGACTGCCACTTAGAGGTCATGTCAAGACGGGAAAAGAAAGGAAAAGGCCCAAAACACACACACACACACTGCAGTTTTCTAGAAACCTATGTTTGAATTTTTTTTTTTTCTTTTGAAAGGTGAGGACTTCTAGCAATAAAAAAACACAATTACCAACATCTCATAATCTTTATTAAATGCTTTCTTTTAAAATGGCTCAACAACTTTAAATTGTACTCAAACCTTCTTATAGTTCTGTTGTAACAGAAAACACCCTGTCATATTTTACCCAAGACACATAAAAGTGAGGAGTTTTGGTCTCCACAAAGACCAAGCAGATGTGGACGGTCTTAGAAACATTCAAGTGTTATATAGTCATGGAAGTTATTTCAAAGAGAGCATTTTAACTTTCAAAGTTAATTCACAAGAAAAATAACAGAGTTCTCTTTCTGGAATTCTTCATTAATTTATTGCAAGTTATTGTACAAATGGAAGCGTAAAGAGGCAGTTCCAGGGGTGGGAAGTACTGCTGGTACTTCAATACCTGAAAAATATCCTCCATTTCCCAATCTATACCAAGAACTGAAAGGAGAGCAGCTTTACCACAACTAGTGGCATCTCTGGAGTTACTAATCCCCAAAAAATAATGCTATCTGTAATTACTGCCAGAGGCACTACTGCTGACCCATTCTCCTATTGCTTGTGGTAAACATTAGTACTGCGTAAAAAAACTAAGAGTGGAGAAAGTATCCAAGTATTAAAGTACTAGCAGTATTTCCTTTATTTGACCAGTTCTTTATGTGCATATAACAGGATGCATGATGGAGTGTTTTGGAATAATCTATTATTTAAATATAGTATATTTAAGTGCAAGAGTGGTTTTGGTGTGACTTTAAAAATTTATAAAAAAGATTATTTACCTGTTATTTTAAATGGAATAAAGCATTGAGCTATAAATTATCCTCAATCTCATCCTGACTGATCAATAGCATCAATGGAATGTTTGACAAAAATAATAAAACATTTTAAAAAATGGCAGGCAGAAAATTAGCTAAATGTATTTAATTACAAATAAAATATATTTCAAGCCAGGTAGACTGAACTGTATTATGATAAAACATTAAAAAGCACCAGACTGGTATTGTTTCAAGCCTGTAAATATTCATATCTGTATATACACTTTACTATTCAATATTTTAAAATAAATATATGAACACTTATAAGGCTAAAGCAATTATTCTAGTTTTGAAGGGAACAAGTAATTTCCTACTTGTAATATATAAAAAAAATCAAATCTTCAAACCCTAAAAACATAATATAAATTAAAAAACATTGCACTACATTTTAATCTTAACTCATTAAGTACCTTATAACACGTATTTCATATATATATATTATCATTTGAAATAGGTTAAAACAGCTTAACATGTTAATCACCACTTTGAACACACATGTTTGCTCAATATCAACTCTCTCCTTTTGTTTGCATAAAATATATATATACCTGTATATAAATCCATTCATTGAAAGAATCATATAATTATTTGTATCAAAAAAACAGTTAAGTTCAACAGTATATAAACATATAATGATAATGATGACAATAATGAGTTTGGTTTGTTTAGTTTCTTTAGAAGTAAATAGTTTAACCAGTGCTTAGTCACCCTTTTATTAATAATATCAATATCATCATCAATACTACTACAATCAATATTGATAATATTAATAACATTAATTTTACTAATAAAATTAATACCAATATTGCTGCTGATGCTGCTGATGATGATCATGATCATCATGACAATAATCATCATGACCATAATCATGATCATAATCATCATCCTCATCACCATTACCATGACAACGTAACCGTTACAATAATAACAACAGTGACAATGATGATGATAATGATGATCATCATCATCTAAATATATATTATAATAATAATTTTACTACTACTAATAATAATAAATAGATAATGATGACGAAGAACAACAAGAAAGAAAAAGCTTTATAACCTCTTCATAAAATCTCACTCATATCTGTAAAGGTGAAAAATTTTGTCTAAAATGTCTTAAGTCCATCAGCTGCTACTCTTCCAGAAGGGGTTCCTGGTCTTCTCCAACTTCCCCCTTCTTGGTAGGGGTGCGAGGCCTCACAGTCTCAGCCCCCACCTCTTCATCAAGCATCTTCAGTTTCTGGTACTTCTTACCAGATTTCACTACCTTCTGAGGATGAATTAAAAATATGATAAGATAAACAGTAATCAGTGTAAAAAATTCATGCATATAGAATAGGTTGGATGATGTGCTAACAAAAGTGACTGGGCATTCATTCTCCAAGAAGCTATTGGATACCAGACATCGAACAAAGCTATAACAAAATTGCAGACAAGTTACACATTCATGTCTGAAGGTAGAATGCACTTTCAATGAGAAACATCAAATATATAAAAAAAATTACCTCATTATTACGGAATGCAATTACATCTGCTATGTTTTCAGGCATTGGTTGCCCCAGTGTTTCAGGCAGCTTCAGGTTCATCATTCCCGCCAAGAATGTCATTATACCAAAGACAGTAAATTGCATATTTGGAATGTAGTCACCCAGCATAAGGATGAAGGGAGCAACTATGCCACCCACCCTTGCAGCAACAGAAACAATGCCAACAGCCGAGTTACGAATAATGGTGGGAAATATTTCAGCACTGATGGAAAAATCGGAAAAAAAAAATTACATTATATATTGCCCTCCTTTCAAGGATTGCTTTACACGACAAAATTACAAATATCCATCCTTAACTATATACTACAAATAATTAAATCATTGAATCTTCTGTACATGCAAATAGCTCTTTACTTACCTATGAACATAAGCAACAGAAAAACTTGCAGAAATGCTTAATTTGCCACAAAGTGCGAGACCAGTTATGACAGTAACATACTTCACTGGTATAAACTGAATGCAAATACAGGCTGTTCCTCCCAACAGCATAGCTGTACATAATGTTATACGTCGACCAACTCTGAAATCAGAAACAAAACATAATATAACAAAATATATCAATGTTGTTATAGCTATGTTTTTTACATTATGATCATTAAATAAGAGAAAAGTACACTTACCTATCAATAACTGCAGCAGCTGTGATACATGCAGGAATCTCTATCAACCCACTAAGAGCTGTAGAAACATACACATCTCCTCCAAGGTTGCTGGCAGCCATGGTTAACCCATAGTAGGTGCAACTATTTACAAACCTGAAAGGCATGGCATCAGATTATGTAAATTTGCTAATTATATCTTTTGATGGCACTTAAACAGTGCTTACAAAATGAAACATTAAGATATCAAGAATAATTTTACTAGACTATAAAATCATTTATT